CCTGATGACACAGCACCATACCCAGAAGACTGGCTTCTCTTTATAATCTGACATCTTACAGAGGGAAATATTTTAATAAGACATACACCTGCTCAGACACACAGAGATACAGGAGCCACAAATACACACAATAATGTTCTAATACCACAGTTGTAACCTCCTCACAAAAGCATTTTTTCTCTTTGATATCCCTTTCCACAACAGTTCACTTGCGTTCACAGACACTTTGTTACAGCAGCAAGGAATAAAAAAAAGGGGTGGGGGAGGCAATCACTGTAATGTTCCACACTGGAGTGTTTCAAGAGGCAAGGCAAACAGTCTGTAACAATAAAAGGGGTCCAGAGCCATTTCAAAGCATTTAGCTGCAATTTATAATTCTGTTCTATGAGATATTAAAAAGCCAGAGCAGTATTTTTTCACTGAGCACGTTGCAATAAATGCTAATGTCCATATTTAAGGAGCAAAGGTTGTAATGTGCCAGTAATCTCAGAGAAGAGTACGAAAAGAATACAAATCCAATCCCCATTATCTCTCCAACACCAAGCATGACTTATTTTTTTCAGGTGCTTGGAGCAACCTGGGATAGTGGAAGGTGTCCCTGCCCATGGCAGGGAGTTTGAATGAGATGGGCTTTAAGGTCCCTTCCAACCCAAACCATTCCATGACTCTGTGATTCTGGGATGATGTAGCACTAATCTTTCCAGCTCCCACAGCAGAACCCCACTGGAGTGTTCAGCAACAACTTTGCTCAGACTCTTCCTTCCTGGAGGGTGAGTCACCACCTGCTGCTCAGGGTTGCCATCTCAGCAGAGTCACGGTGGGATCACAATTCCCAGGAACAGCAGACTGCACACATGAACATCCCAGCATATTTAGTGTCTATCAAAACAAGGCCCAGAGCGTCCATTCCAGGCCTCCTGCCCAAGAAAATGTACAACCTCACTTGCAAGGACTCCTCAGAATGCTGCTGTGAGAGCTGCTCTCTTAGGAACTGCATAAAATTGTATCAACCCCAATACTTTCACACCCTCGTGCAGGAAACAATCTGCTAACAAAGCCAGCAAGTGCAATTATTGCAGCTTAGACGGGTGTTTTCCAGGAAATACACTGACTGCAACAACACTCTTTTGATCCTTGGGTTATGATATTGCCACACAGACCTCGTGTTCTGAAAAACAGGAAGCAACAAGCCTCCTGCTCAGACCACATGAAGCAGCCAACATTCTAAATTTAGGGCTTACAGAGTGGTTTATTTATAGACAGAGTATGCATAGTGTATATACACACATATATACTCTCATATATACACATATATACACATCACCACTGATCTTGCAGATAAAAGGGAGTTAAAATTCGTCTGTGGCAACAGTGCCACAAAACTGTCAGTCTCCTGAGCTGAACTGGGAGTTCAAGGGTTAATGTTGACAAGTAAATATTGAAGTAAAAGTCTGGTAAACAACAACAACAACAACAAGAAAATATCCAGAAGGTCCTCAGGGGTGGGTAATTTCCATTTTCATAAAGTAACTAATAATGTGACAAAGGAGTGATCTAAACAGGGAGTGATTTTTAACACCACAAACTCTTGGTTTAGGAAACCAGGCCAAGGCTGCAGCTGGTGACATCACTGCCAACAACAACCAGGATCAGTGACCACTGCAGAGCAGTGTCTGCTTTAAAAACTTCAGAAAGTGACTGGCTCTGTCAGTTCTGTCTGAACACACAGAGCTATCAGCTGCCTTCCCTCAGACTGTGCTCTGATAGTGATTATATGCACACACAAAAAATGCTATGCCTTTATTTTCTGTAATTTAGCTCAACTAACTAATTAATTAATTGACACTTCAGTCAATTTACCACCCGTGATCTCTTAAGAATAACCAGAACAGGAAACTACTCAGCCTTCTGGATTGCTGTGCACACAACCATCACCACTTCAGATCATCAGTTCTGTATCAGAAAAACAACTGAGAGTCGACCCAAAGATGTTTGTGGTCACCTGAGCTTTATGCAGACCCTGCTTTGTTATCTGGGACCAGACTCACAAAGCCAGGCACGGACATATTTGGGTTTTTAGGGAGGTTTAGATGTATTTTAACATCTGGTTATATGCACAGAAACAAAAAGGCCTTTTCTTTCAGGGGTTTCCTATTTTCTACAAACCAAAGAGCTAAAAACATGCAACAACAGCTTCTCACTCATGTATGAAAAATCTAATTCAACTGACACTTAACAGCAAGAACTTCAATCTTCTCTCACTTTTCACACAGACCAGCCGTAGAGTCCTTGTGCTTGTCAAACAAGTTGTCTGACAAATATTCCTTGTCCAGTCTTGCTGTGACAGTTTATGATGTCACCAACTCCCAGCTGTCCCTCCAAACCCTCTACTGAAAATCTGTCCCTTTCCAGTCTCAGTAAATCAAGCAATGAATTCACAAGAAACTCCCCCCAGGACCCACAGCCAAGGAATTAACTTCTCCATCATGAAGTGCAGATAAATGTCTTCAATCAACAATCCTTTCTTCACAGAAGGAGATGCACCAAAACCCTGTGACTAGCAAAGGTCTGTTTCCTTCCCTCACAACCACAAACACACAGACACCGTGAAAAATATGATACACCCTGTGATAGTCTTACATGTGAAGTGATTCTTAGTGAAATTTTGTCCTGGAGACTTAAAACCTGGGCAGTGCCAGTTTCAGAATGTCTCAAAGTTACATCACTTACCAATAACTTGTAGAAATTCGGTGTTGCTGATCTGTGAATCACTGATGCTAAAGGTCTCTTCTTGCCTCACCTCTCCCAGCAAAAATCCTTCCTGCAAATTAAAAGGAAAATAAAAGCACTAAAACAAGACAGAAATCCACTGCATACAGTCACTTACTGTAACTTTCTCAGCCCTTAAGCTGGACCAAAGATTCAGTTTGGAGCACACATCTGAGCTGCAGCGGGTACAACCTGCCCTGATTTTCTGCTTTGCCAACATCCTTTCTGCCAACAGCACTGCAGGGATGGCTCGTCCAAAAACAACATTCTACACACAACTTACACAAGGGAGAGACGTTACAGAAGGGAGGGCTCTGCCCCAGCCCCATAGGGATGAGGAGGAGGCTGCTTTGCTCCTGCAAATCTCAGGGAAGTGGAGGTTACACCTGCAGAGCCTTACCCAAATTTCTGTGTGGAGACTGGGCTGAACCCCGAACAACAACAGGGATTACAAAACCCAGATGTCGATTTAAAGGTAAATTAAAGTAATTCCTTCTCCATCCCTACCCAAAACGAGTGAGGAGGCTGAGCAGGAATGGCGTGGTTTTGGCACAAAGCACCGAGATGGTGGCGCAGAGCTGAAGAGCAAGCTCAGCCTAAAATCATGCCAACAAACCCGAGGGATTCGGGAACACCCCACCTCTGCGCTGGTCAGCATCCCACAGCGGCTGCGGGAAACCCACCCACGGAGCTCCCACGCGCGCGTTCCCCGCCTGCAACCCCAGTCCCGCAGGAGCCCCGCCCCGCCGGGAACATCCCAGGCACCCCACATCCCGCGGGGAGCACTCCGAGCACCCCACGTCCCAGGGAACAGCCCTAGCATCCCACATCCCGGGGGACAGAGCCCCGGACACCCCACATCCCGCCCGGGAATCCCACATCCCGCCTGGACACCCCACATCCCGCCGGGATCCCCCACATCCCTCCTGGACACCCCACATCCCTCCTGGACACCCCACATCCCTCCTGGACACCCCACATCCCGCCCGGGCATCGCACGTCTCTCGGGGAGCACTCGGAGCACCCCGCACGCCGGGAAACAGCCCTGTCATTCCACATCCCACGGGGAGAACGCCGGACACCCCAAATCCCGCCCAGGCAGAGCACGTCCCACCTGGACACCCCACATCCCACATCCCGCACAGGGGGGAGCGGACCGGACACCCCACATCCCGCCAGGATACCCCACGTCCCTCCCGGACACCCCACGTCCCTCCCGGACACCCCACATCCCTCTCGGACACCCCACATTCCGCCGGGACACCCCACATCCCTCCCGGACACCCCACATCCCACCCCGCCGCGCCCGTGGGGGGCCGCCCCCGCCCGCCGTGATCCGCGGCCGGGCCGCACGGGGCGGCGGCGCGGCTCGGCAGCCCCGCGGCGCGGGCGCCGCTCGGTGCGCTGTGCCGGGGCGCCCCCGCGGCCCCGGTGCGGCGGCGCGGGGCACGTACGTGGTCGGCGCTGCTGTTGGCGCTGCAGTAGCACACGGAGCTGAAGGTGTAGCCGGAGATGGACGCCGCCATGACGGACACACCGCCGCCGCCTCCACGGCGCACGCGCGCCGCCGCCGCCGCGCTCGGCCGCTTCCGGCGGCGCCGCGGGGCATCATGGGCAGTGTAGTCCCGGAGTGGAGACCGGGGGTGTCCAGGGGTGGAGGGGGAGTTGGAACTGCGGGAATGTCAGGGAATGATTGGGTTTGGGGCGCACTCGTGGGGCACCTTGTCACGGGCAGTCATTTCCCAGGGCCAGAGGGCAGGGTTAGATGGGATACTGCGGAGGAATTCTTCCCCGTGAGGGTGGGGAGGCCCTGGCACAGGTTGCCCAGGGAAGCTGTGGCTGTCCCTGGATCCCTGCAAGTGTCCAAGGTCAGGCTGGACGGGGCTTGGAGCAACCTGGGATATAGTGGAAGGTGTCCCTGCCCGTGGGAGAAGGTGGGACTGGATGGACTTTAACGTCCCTTCCAACCTAAACCACTCCATGACAACACAAACGCAGCTGTACCAGAAGGCGACTCTGCAGCGGTGCCGTTCACCGCTCCTGTTTTTTTTTATTTAATACACCTCAAAAAAAAAAAAAAAAAAAAGCCTTGTGATTGAAGAGCATAAACCCTTCTTTTAAACACTGCGCCGATTTTCATCGAATCCCAGGACGGTCTGGATTAGCAAGGACCTTAAACACCATTCACGTTCAGCCTCCCGCCCTCCCAGCGGCATCACCGGGCGGCTCCGCCCTCCCCGCTCGGCGGTTCCGGGCATGGCGGGGCCCTTCGAGCCCTCGGCGCTGGGCACCCGGGAGCAGTGAGTGCCGGGCAGGGGCAGGGATGGGGGTGCGAGCCGGGCATGAGCCCCACGGGCGGGAGGGGAGCTGTGGGAGGTGTCCCTGCCCCCGGGGGGCTGAGATAAGGGAGGTCCCTTTGAGGTTCCCTTCCACCGCGAACGGCTCCGCGCTTCGCGTATTATTTTTATTATTTTATTTGTAGAATCCGTGATTATGTAAAGCGGCGCTGATGCACAGAAACAGCCTTCTCGCCCTTCCGTGCAATCGTGGAATGGTTTGGGTTGGAAGGGACCCTTAAAAGCATCTCGTTCCACCCCCAGCCACGGGCAGGGACACCTTCCACTATCCCAGGTTGCTCCAAGCCCCGTCCAACCTGGCCTTGGACACATCCAGGGATGGGGAAGCCACAGCTTCTCTGGGAAATCCATTCCAGCCCCTCACCACCCTCACAGGGAAGAATTCCTTCCCCACATCCCCTGCCCTCTGGCAGTGAGAAGCACTTGTCCTGTCCCTCCATCCAAAGTCCCTCTCCAGCTCTCCTGGAGCCCCTTTAGGCCCTGCAAGGGGCTCTCAGGTCTCCCTGGAGCCTCCTCTTCTCCAGGTGAACACCCTGAGCTCTCCCAGCCTGGCTCCAGCCCTCGGAGCGTCCCTGTGGCCTCCTCTGGACAGTTTAATGTTCATCCTGTGCTGGGGATCAGCATCTTACCACTCTCACAGTAAAGGATTTCTTCCTACAATCTGGCCTGAATTTCCCCTCCTTCACTTTTTCTTCCCCTCACTCTTTAATCTAAATATTTCCCAGTATTAACTGCAATATCCTCTCTTTTCTTCCCCCCTACTCCAGCTGGGATGCTGCATATGAGAGAGAACTGCAAACTTTTCAAGATATTGGAGATGCTGGGGAAATCTGGTAAATAAAATGACTCCCACAGGGTGTTTCTGTTGTTTCTTGATCAAAACAGACATTGCAGAAACACAGTCAGCAATCCTGTGGGTTGCTGACAAAAGGATAGAGAGTTTTAACATTGAAGCCACCGTTTCCTCTCTTGCTCGGTTTTGCAAAGCAGGTTTCTTAGTTGCACTTGGACAAATGTCATGACACAGAAACCGAGCTGGTAGTTGAGGTGTATGTCACTGAAAAATTTGCCTTTTTATCCCTGAGCTCAGGTTTAACTACACAAGCTGCCCTTGCTGCTCCCTTTTTTAACATGGGGGTGATATCACCTCCCAAAGTTGGGTTTTCGGTGAATTTTAAGGCCAAGGGATTAATTTTAATTTGAGAAGAGCAGACACGAACTGTGAGCTGTGGCAGTTGTTACTTCAGTAACACCAAGAGGGGCTTTGCAAAAGCTGGAGGAAGCGAGTGATGACATAGATTTGCTGTACCTTAGGTAGATTTTTTTTTTTTTGCTGCTTTAATTCCCTGAGCCCTTGTTTCACACAGGTTTGGAGAGGAAAGCATGGTGCGCATCATCAGGTGGCTGGAAAAACACCAGGTCCCCCTGGACAGCTCTGTGCTTGACATTGGAACTGGGAACGGTGTTTTACTGGTTGAACTGGTTGGTATTTTGCAAAGTTTGTGTATTTTTTTATACAGAACCAGAGCTCCAAACAGAGCAGTTCAAATACTGCTCTGTTTGTTGGGTAAACTCCTCCAGAGAAGGGAATTAAGTTGATTAGTGCACGAAGTATCCTTATGTGCAAAAGCAGACCCTTTCTCTGCATTCAGTTCTGATAATAACACCCATGACTGATGTGAAAAAATGGGTAAACCTAAAGGCTTCTAGGTAAATTACTTACAAAGTTAACACTTCTTTTTAAAGAAGTGTACATTTCTATCAGGGTGGAAACTCTGGTCAGATATGTTCCGAGGTGTTACGATGATGTTTTACAAGATGTTTAGGAGTTCCAGTATTTTTTTCCTGGTTTTAATTGATTTATTTTTTTTTGGTATAATACTGCAGGGGAGTTGGTGAAGGAAGGGACTGTCATACTTTCACAGCTTCTATTGTTCTGCATTCTCCTTTGGCTCCATTAGTTACTGTAGGAATTAAAAGGGCTGGAAGTCAAAGTCAGGTTTGTAATGGAAATTTTTTTCAACACGGACATTGATTTTAGAAGACTTTAAAGCCTTCTTTAAAGACTGGCTGCTATATCACAGCACAGGGGAAGTTATGTCATCAAAAGCAGAAATTGCCCATCTCATTAAAGGAAATTAGCCTAATAATGATGATTGTTAAGTGCAATGCTAGCCAGCTCTATCATCTTTGAAATATCCAACAGAAGTTTTATACTGACCCCACTTACAAATAGGAAACTGATTTTCATACTGTAATGGGAAAATGACAGCCTGATAGCTCTTAAAAACTATTAAACTGCTGTAAAAGCACCCTCTTTCCTTACATTAAGCACCTTAGAGTAGTGTGGTTGCTTTTGTAGGGAATTTTCAGTCCAGTTCTCATTTGAAAAGTGACTTCAAAAATTATATTGTTTAGTTTTGCTAAATAATTCAGGATCTCACTTGCTTAGTTTATTTAAAAGATTGTTGTTGGTTTTTGTTTTTGTTTTTTTTTTTTAATGTGTTAGCTGCCAGGCTTTGAAAATCAGGTTGGGATTCTTTGGAAAAGCAAGTTGGGATCCTTTTGGCAAGAACAGCAGCTACTGTAGGACTGTTCTGCCACTGGAGCTGGGCTCCATAATGGGATAGAAATGGCAATACTGGAAAAGACTCAGTCATGGTAGGCGTTAGTAGCACCTCTCTGAAGGGGAACTACTTGAGAGTGCCAAAGTACCACATAAATAGGACCCCTTTCTATATGTGAAGTAGACCATGGTTCTGCCCCTGTTAACATCAAGGACGTGATAGGCTGGATTGAAGACATAATGCTTTCACTTTCCAAAAATTCCAGCTCTTTGAAGGAAATGTTGCTGCCAAACAAAACTCTGATCTTCTCTTATTTTTATGAGTAGTGTGGCAGCCAACAATATTGAAAGTATGGAGAAGCTTCTCTGGACTGAAGGATGTTCAGCCGCGTTGGGGTGTCTGTCTGGCGGCAGCAGAGGCCCAAGCACAGGGCAGGGCTGATACCACTGCAAACTGCCTTCTGCTCTTTAATCTGCCTCTCCAAGAAGCATCAGAATAGCGCTATAAATACCACCTTCAGGGCAGGAGTCCAGCTGCAGGATGGCACGTGAGGGAAGGATCCCTTCCTGTCGCAGTCAGGCCCTACAGGTTCAGCAGCATTTAGCGTTGTTTATCTCTAAACTTTCCTTCTGTGCCCTGGAGACTATAGGAGTGAATGGGAACTCCCTGAAGTGACTCAAGCCCTTCCTTTCCAAACAGAGGAGCTGTTGTGGGAACTGATCTTCCACCCCCAAGCCTTCAGCGCAGGCATCTGAGGAAGCCTGCTTTGCTCTGGGGAGGAACGTGGGCAGGAGCCTGAGCAATGAGCTGTTCTCCATCACATGCAAACAACACTGTCTTTGTGTGGAGCTGCAATTAGCCCTCAGTTCAGAACAGCTGGTTAGCACTGAGCTCGCAGGCCTGAGGGGCTGCTGGAAGGAGGAAGGGCTGTTGTGAAAACTCCTCATGGTTTTCCTCGCTGTTGAGGTGTCAGCTTGGAACAAGTAGACACGCAGCTGGTTGCTTAATGCCAGTTCAAGTCCATGTGTTTTTTCCAAATTAAAACAAGGCCAAGCCTCCTCCCTCTCTGTGCTGTGACAGCCTGCAGCTGGCCATAGGACTGGAGCTCTTCCTGTTGGGTTTGGGTTTCAACAGGCCCACTCACACTCGTGATATCCCGAGCTGGTCCCTTCAGCTGCTGCCTCGGAGTGCAGATGTGTGTCCCTGCTCCCCTCCCACCTGCCCAGCTCCACCTGGCTGCCCACCTGCTTTGCCAAAGGGATCTCACTGCCCGAGTTCCCTGAGCTGGGTTGTCCTTATCTCCTCCAAATTTAGATTAACAAAGTCTCTGTATGCTCCTTTACGTGATGCATAACCTGCCTGAAAATTGCTGATACAGAGACCTTGCAGCATGCAAATAGTTGTATTCAAATAGGCATTAGCATGAATAATTACAGAAATGTATGATTTTGCAGTGGATTTATGTAGTAGTGTAATGTATTACGTAGTTTGGCTCTTACAGTTTGGGTTATAAACCAAATAATTGCTCAATCTCAAACGTTATGTGTCAGAGAGTATTTTTTTTCCCGATTTTGAAGCATCTGGCATTGTCACATGTTCTCACACTGAAAATTTCTGGTTCCTAGCTTACTTTTGGTGCAGATAAGAGAGCCTGTTCCCCTCCAGGGTGTTACTTTTCACAGTTCTGCTCAGTTTTCCACTTGACATAAACCAGCTTTCAGTCAGCAGTTCTTTTGATGAGGTATTTAGGCAGAATGGACTTGCTTCAACTCATTTCTCGAGCTGTTTAGCTCTTGTAATTATAAAAGGTATAAAAGTGAGTAAAAGATGGGTTGTTTTTTGTTTCCTGTCGGTAAGAGGAGGAGAGATGAGATGGATTATAGATAGGGAATATACTCGCTGGATAAAATCACTAATGCACTAATTAAGATTCTCTGCTTCTGTCTAGGCAAAGTCTGGCTACATGAATCTCACAGGGATCGATTACTCTCCTTCTGCAATACAGCTTTCAGAAAAAGTAAGAGAGAAAGAAGGGATGTCTAACATTAAATTAAAGGTAAGTCTTGAGAAGGGATGTCTAACATTAAATTAAAGGTAAGTCTTGAGAGAAAGTTTATTGAGGAAATAGAGAGCAATTGAACCCAAGATTAAATGACCTGATTGACATTCAGACGTGCTCGGGGTACTAAACAAATGATGTCTTTTGACATTCATTTGTGAGAGAACTCTAACCCAATAAATCTCTGTTTACAAGAAGGTTTTTGGTCTTTATTTTTGTTTTCTGTTGGTAGCAGTCATTAGGGCTAACAAGATTTCCCTCCTTGGAGAAGGAGCTCCACAAAGAGTGGTTCACCCTTTGGGAGTCCTATATTTTAGCTGCCACGTTCTGAATTTCAGATCTGAGATAGAGGAAGAAATCCTTAAGTGATAGATCCCTACCCGTAGCTGTGCAGCAGGAAGCCTTGCTGGAGCAGGGGTAGGACCAGATGACCTCCAAAGGTTCCCTTCCAGCCTCAACCATCCCATGATTCTGTGGCTGCCTGTAATTCTGAACTCCCTGTCTGCTGTGCTGTTTTATCCTCCAGCCCTGTGCCTGTGTGATGCTTCTGTTCTCGTGTCAGTCGTAAAATCTCTCTGTGGCGGGCACTGTCTGTTCTTCTGCGTTCGTGCAGTGCCTGGCACATGCCAGGCATCCAAGTACAAATTATGGTTTATAGAATGGACTCCAAGTGTGTTAGTTTGAGCTGTAGATTACAGCAAATAGATCATCACATAATGCACAGAGAAGAAAGAAGCTGCCAAAGCATTAAAATCCCGTGAGTTGCCCCTTCCCCAGCACACCTATTGTCAGGTTTGAGGCGTTGTATCCTAAAGTCTCGCTTCACATTAAAGCTTCAGGAAGCTGCTGAGCAGAAGATTTGTTTTCACAGCTGTAGACTTCTGCTTTAGGTAGAAGACTTCCTGGCCCCATCAGCTGAACTGTCAGGCTTTGACATTTGCATTGACAAGGGGACTTTTGACGCCGTAAGCCTCAACCCCGACGACGCGGCGGGGAAGCGGCAGCAGTATGTGAGGTCCCTGGGCAGGGTGCTGAAACCACAGGGCTTCTTCCTCATCACATCTTGCAACTGGACCAAGGAGGAGCTGCTGAACGAGTTCAGGGAAGGTGAGCAGCTGAACAGAGAACCCTCTGCCAGCTGAGGGTTGTTGAAGGATCGGGATGAGTGAATTTGAATGGCTGTGTTAGCATATTGGCTTTCCCAGATCAGGATTAGGGAAGGTAAAGGGATTAGTAAATGCTTCAGCCTGCCTTGCCTCTGTTTTCCTCGGGAATTGCATCTCCAGTGTCAGGGTGCCACGGGAGGACGGGTTTTGTTACACCGTGGAGGTTGGGGCTCTCAGTCTAATTACACTGGGAAAATGTGTACCCAAATGATACTTTTTTTTTTTTTTTTTGAGTCCTTTATACCATAACCAAATCACCCTTCTGGTTGCTTTGAGATTGAGGGTAACATTACCCATGTTTAGAGGAACTTTTATGTCACCTCCTCAGCTGCCTTTCTGATCCATCACAGAGTTTTTTTACGTGCCAGTCAGCTCCTGAATCTCCTGCCTGAGACTTGAAACTCAGTGAGGATCTCAAACAACCATCCCTTGTGAGGAACTGAAATTACTGGCAAGTTCTCATCTTTTCTGCCATTAATTTGAGTGAGTCAGCCAGCTGAGATTTTTATTATCCATGGAAGAGGTTCAGCTGTATAAAGCAGTGGTGCAGTGCAACAATACAATCCTATAAACTCACAGATTAACTGACTTGCAAGTTTTCCAGACGAATAAAGAATGGTTTGCAAAGGGTTATCCAAGAGGCGAATAAAACGACTTCCTTCTAATAAAAGCGTTTTAATTTCTGTCTGGCAGGATTTGAAATTCTGGAGGAGCTGCCAACACCCAAGTTTTGCTTTGGAGGAAGAATTGGAAACAGTGTAACAGCATTGGTTTTCCAAAGGAAAAAAACGAGGCCATCCATCTTGGACAAATTAGATTAGATGAGAAAAGTCTGAACTTTAAACCTGACAGAAAACCTCAGACACGTGTGTAAATAAATGCTTTTTGAGTGCACAGTAAAATACTCGGTATGGAACTCCAAGGGGCTATAAAACATTGCCCTAGAAACGTTTCAGCTTTGCGTAACTTGCCCATAAATTTTGTCCTTGCTACAACCTCACTTGTTTTAGGGAAGCTGCGTGTTTGGGAGCGAGAGGGAAATAAGGCATTCTACGTACAGGTAAAAAAATATATCTGGATGATATTTGTGTTTGGAACATGAAGGTTATCTGGTATTTATTTTCAGTGTTGGTACTCAGTGACCAACAGGTAGGTAGGTATTCTACAAGGCAAAAAAATCTCATTGCACTGAAATAGGGAACAAGCTTTTACTATGTAAGTGCTTTAATATTAATTACATTTTATATTAATTAAAGCACTTATATTAATATGTATTAATATTAATTAATTAAAATCTTTAATTAATGAACATGAATGTTGCTGTTAAGGAGGGAAATTAACACAAAAACCACAGCACTTGCAAAAAAAGGTCTAGTCAGTGCTTTAAATGCAGATTTCCAGAGGTTCTCATGCTCAGCATGGTTCTGTCTCCACTGAAGTAGCTCAGCTTTTTTCCCACAGAGGGAGTGTCTTTAAAGGTCTCACTTGCCTAAGTTCATGCCTGATCAGTTATTTTCCCTGATCTCATAAATACATAAAGGTGGGATGTTATAGTCTTGCATTCTCACTGGTGAGTGACATGTGCCTCCTCCATGATTACTTTTCTATGTAGTAATGTCTTAAGAGCCACAGTGACCTTAAGTTTTCCAGTGAAGTTCTCAGGGACAGATTTTAGCTGCATAAATCCAAAAGAATTCAAAGCATAACTATCCATTCCTTGTTCATCTTTTTTTAATATATTTTTTTTAACTTCCTTGTGTTTTTGCTTATTTTCTCTGCCTTCATTTCTTCTGCTGTTTTGTATTCTCTGAATATTACTGTTGCTTGAAAGGCAGGAAGATGAGATTTCCTCACCCCTTGACAAACCCAGGTTGCAGGTGACAATAAACTTGTTCTTTCAAACATCAAGGAGGTCCTGTTGGGCAATCAGGTTTTGTTTCACAGGCATGTTTCATGTTTGCTCATCAGGGAATTGCTACTCCTGGTTGCCACAGTTCTCGTTCCCAGGGTTCAGGAGATCTTTAAGGGTCAATAAATGCTTCTAGTCCTTTCCCAGGACAGGAATTAAGGCATTATTTGCACAGTGGTGAGTCCTCCCTCTGTGATCCATCTGTTGATATCCTCAAGGTAGGAATCCTAATTCCACATCTGTTTGCAAAATGGGATGTATTCCATTGGAAGAATGGCTCATCAGCAGTGGTGAGCAGATGTAGTCCCTGTGAACAGTTCTTTGCGTATTTGGTCAGGCCTGAGTTCCTAACTCAAATGCCAAAACCAAGGGCTTGTTAGCATTTGACGTGTCCTTGATTTGGGGCAGCTCATCTTGCAGGGAGGTTCCCGATGGAGGCGTGATCTCTAAACGTTGGTGCATTTCAGTGAAGAAACAGCTTAAAAAGAGACAGAGGAATAAGCAGTGGGCTAGGAGGGCTGAATATTTGCTGGAAGTTTGGGGAGTGCTTCATGGTGGTTCCTGAAGGCTGGAATCTTCATGACTACACAGCTGTGTGACTCTTGGGTTTCTTTCAGCTGCAACGCCGGGCTACGGGAGAATAAATGCAGCATTTAAAACGCATTTTCCTCCTATTGTTTTGCTGTCTGAAAACCCTGTATGTGATTTCACTGTCAAATATGAGGTTTGTGGGTAGTAAAACTAACATCTGCCGTGGATCTCGGAGGTGGTTGAGCCCACAGGCTTTTCCTGCAGGACCGAGTTTAGGCTGGATGACGCTGCGGAGCTGGCAAACCTTCCCGCTGGAGTTTTGCATAAAACATGGGCAGAACAGAAAGGGTTTGTGTTCCCTTGTTCACTGAAAGTGTACTGAAGGGTAGAATGCTCTCAGGACTGACCTTTTATTGCAGGGAGATGGGAGATGGCTTTTAGTGCCCAAAGCGCAAAGAAGCAGCACCTCCACCAACATCTGTGCTTGGGGCAGCTCCTGCATCCGACACCCAGCTCCTGATCCCTCCTACTGCCAAGCAAACTGCGTTCAGGGGTTTCTCTTCTGAGGCATTTGCTGGGAGAGGCAAACACCGTTGTGTTTGTAGTGGGGCTTGTACTACTGACAGAGCTTGGAGCATTTTATCCTGGAATTTTATAGGGTGTATCACAGAAGTGAACTGTCAGCGTGAAATACCTGGAAGAGGTGACTGAGCCACAGTAATGAAATAATTATTGATCTGAGATGTCTGATCGAAGGGAGTTTCTACACATGGGGCCCTGCTAGAGTGTGAGGTAAATGGATTCTCAAGACAAAAAGCCTTTGCCTTTTCAGCATCACAGTACTTTCTTGAAGTAAATACTCCTCTAATCATGTATATACAAATTAAGGAGTGAGAAATGCCAGACATGAAAACTGTGACACAACTCAATGAGCAGAGAAAATTCAGAGAGAAGGTGAATATTCCCTTGCTCCTTGACTTCCCTTTTGGTGACCAGCTTGTTATTTATAAGAGAGGATGTTCACTGAATGGTCCTTAAGGAGCAGGAATAATCATAGAATCCCAGAATGGTTTGAGTAGGAAGGGACCTTCAAGACCATCTTGTTCCAATCCTCTGCCATGGGCAGGCACACCCTCCACTCTTCCAGATTGTTCCAAACCCCGGGCAGCCTGACCTGCAATTCTGTTCGTAGGCTTTTTTTTAAATTTTTTTTTTTTTTTTTTTTGGTTTGTTCTTTTGGAGGCTTAGAAGATATGGAATTAATATTCTGTTCTTGAAACCCAGTATAATTCTGTGTAATGAGAAGAATTTCTGGGAGCTACTTTTTTTTTTTTTTTTTTTTTTTTTAAGAGCTGTTGGGTTATATCAGAAACACCAACAGAATTATGGCAGCTGCTTTCGCAGACAGGGCCAGCAATGATGAAGCAAGTAATTACAGGCTCTCTGTCCCATCAGGAGAATATTTCTTCAAATCATTATTGAGAGCATCAGGTTGAAATAACTGTTTGCATTATGGGCTCACCTTCTCAAATTCAAATCTGGTGTTGCAACACCATTTCTGAAATCTGGGAATAGCCAGATGCCTTGATTGTGTCATAGGATTTGGGGTATTGAACACCTATGGCAAAAACAGACTCAGCTTTTTATTTATTTATTTATTTTTTACTTTGTACTTTTCTGAAAAGGAGCTTTCACAGATATTTGGGGTTTTAAACCTGCTGTTGCCGTTTTACAGGGGAGCTCGTTTATACCTGAGCGGAGAAGCGCGCGTCCCACCACACGCACAGGTCTCAGGTGTGAGTCTCTGGAGAGCAAACAATGTTCCCTCATACCCTTTGCATCGAAGTTATTTCAGTTCTGCACATGTTTCTGTGAGCCTGAACGGGCAAACAAGGGGATGAACAGCAATCCCTCCCTTGGAACGACTGGGTTTGTAGCCAGGTGTGCAAGGCGAAGCCAAGTGTGCAAGGAAGAACGGATAGATACTTGGAAAGATCCAAAGATGAGCTGACACAGCTTCTTTGGAGGTTTTTTTTTATGTCAGGATGAGTTCTTGAATAGCTTTTCTGGTACATTAGGCACAGCATGCTTTTCTCCATCACTGACACTGGCTTCCATGTATTTCCACATTCCAGGAATGCACTGGCAGCACTGTAGCCATTGTGAGGAAAATCTGCATGTATATGTACTCTGCTATGTCTGTTCTACTGTGTTCCAGGGTGCCTGGTTATAAGGCTGCCAAATTTTATGTTATTTCGTACCAGACAAAATCTTTAAGTGTGGTATTTAGCAACATACAGCAAAATTTTCAGTGTTTTGGCACTGGGATTGCTTTCCCAATCTTGGCATGCTGAAAGGTAAAGAACACAGCTTGCTACAACAATAACTGCTCTATTTTATAGGCCCTCTAAGCATTTTAAGGGATCGAATCGTCTCCTGTAAAATACATGGAGAGCACTTAAGAAATAATTGGGCCAGGGCTCTGCATTGCCATGCGGAGCTCTGCCTTCCCATTCCCGTTGCTCCCTTGCCTTTTCTGGGATAAGGTAAGAGGGGGAGACTGCCCTTCCCGGCGTTACCTGCTCCAGGGATGGATGGGTGGTACGGTTGCCTTGGAGGGGACGGCTCCATCCCGTGCCTTGGCTGGAAGTTCGCGTAGCGTGACCCAACCCTTGTGGGTAGCAGCGAAATTGAGGAGCAGTTAATGGCTACCAAGGGCTTTCAGTGAAAGGGGATGAGGTGTTATAGCCTCGAGACAAAGGAGGAAAAGGAGCGCTGGCGTGTTTTGTTTAACGCAGGCGAGGGAAAAGCCGACCTGCGGCTTAATTTCAATTTGTTAGGGAACAGCATAGCTTGAAATGAGCCCATTTTTATGTTACTGGAAATTAAACTGAGTGCTGTCAGGCAAACCAATCGCTGCCAGGTAGCATTATAAATCCTGGATAATCACAAGTGCATAAGCCCATGCTGGAGAGCCAGAGCTAATAAACACCAGTGAGGGAGCAGAAACAAACCTCAGCACAGCCCCTGCAGCAGCCAGGTATTCATGGACAGCATCATGCATCAAACTGAGGTGGGAAGAGTGTGCATAGAGTGAGAAATCCGAACTGCTGGTGGGGCTGAGAACTGAGATTTGAGCAGAAGGATCCAGGCTCTTTCACCCCAATTGGTGGTGTTAATTAGCCTGTCCAGCTACTCCCGAACTTACCCAATGTAGGGTGCTGCTTTGGGGCGTGTCTGCAGCTGCCTTGAGCTTTGTGAATGAGGGACAAATAACTCTGGTCTTAATCTTAAGCCAGTGCAGACACAAACATGGTTGACAAAGTGATAGGCACGTTCAGGCAAGAGAGAGGTTCACACATGTATTTCATGGTCTGTTTATTTTATCCATCGACTATTTCCACTGCACCTCGTGTGGGGCAGCCTGGAGCTCAGCAGTCATGCCCTCTGCCAAGGTGGGAAGGGAGGCAGCAAACACAAAGCTGTTGCATGTGCAGCAACTATACCTCATGTTAAATAGGATTTATAACTTTGGTGGAAATCCTGTTGTATGCCAGATGTAGTTAGAACTGCACCCCTCATTACAAACCTCTGCACAGGAGCTGTTTGGGTATCAGGTCTCGGTTGGTATCAGTTTTTTAGCAATTTAGGTACTTCCTGACCCAGGGCACATTGATCATATTACAGAGATGTGTTTGTTCCCTGGGTACAAAATACCTATTAAAAATACTTGTGCTTGCTGTTATTTAGATTTTGTGAGTTTCAGGAGTTCCCCTGGAACTGGAGTGTGGCTTCTGAAGCTGGTCTCCTCTTTGTGCTCTCGGAGAACCTTTGATGGAGCCCAGATGTCCCTGTGAGTACGTGGTACCCAGCACAGCTGGATGGCTGGGACATCGTGTGACTGGGACACTGACTCTCTGGCCTTGGGCAAGTCCCCTACCTGTATTCCTTGCCTGGCAGGAGAGGCAGAAGGATAAACCCATAAATAACTGGGATCGCTCCAGTGCTTAGGACAGTGCAGAGTTGTAGGTCATTGTGAAAGGGACACTTCTGAAATTATTAGTAACCTTGGTGCATATGACTCGAATAACAACGAACTGGAGCAGGTAGTGAAGCATTGGAAAGGCTACATGGGAAGCAGGCTGCAATCCTGTGCACTGGAAGTGAAGGAAATGGTGTTTTTCCACAGGGCTTAGCACTGCTGCATCGACATGTCAATGACTTGGACCCCAGAATCATTTCAGAAGGACGGTGGAGATCATTAGATTTTTCCCTATCCACAGTTTCCATCTCCCATCAGGAAGGCTCCTAGTGAGTGGGTAGCAAAACTGCTGACATCCAAGACAAAAACACAAATTAAATCAGCTCAGAGTTGGACTGAATGGATTTTCTGTCCACGACAGCTAAACTCTCTTGGCCAGTTCTTTAAAGCACGAAAATTATTTCTGTCTTTTCCCCTTCCTGACAAAGGTCTTCTGCACTGCCCAGAGCAGGGAACTGTGGGCAGCCTTTACATTTCAACAACATTACTGCAAATACTATCTGTGGAGAACAGGTCTGTGCTTCAGCAACAGGCTTTCACGTGTGCTGGGAATGCTCCACAGCCAGCTCATCTGCTGGGAAGCACGGAGGATGAGAGGCAGAAAATGCTGGGTTTGGAGCGAGCTGCAGGAGCAGACAGAAAGCAACTTTCTGCTTGAGTCTTGGAGCCCAAGGCTGCCACGGGAATGGATTCAATTACGCTCCGAGCTTTATTGCTGAAATATTCCACTGGGAAGCCATAAAAAAAACATTTTCAAACTTGATTCCCCAAGTTCTGGAAAAGGAGTTAGCAAGTGTTTTATTGCTACCAGTCTCAACACGTGATAAGAAAAGCAAATACTGAGTGGGACGGAGGAGCTTGATGCGAAAGCCCCTTCACATCATCAAACCCTTCTCCCTGTTTGTCGCCCACTCAAACCAGCCACTCCTAATTTTATGTGTACTGAGTATGGAGCCACTTCTGTTGAGATCAGTCCTCGCTGTGTTGGTGGGAGCTGCTCCCTTGTTAAATTTCCACCCGCTACTTCCGCTTGCTCACCTCTTCCTTCTCAATTACATTAAATTCTAACTGATAGTCTTCCTCGACAGTTATTTGGTGTCCTGGGCTGTGCAGCAGCAGGGCAGGACACCCAGAGCGCTGCTGAGTTACCCAGCCAGAGCCTCCCTTGCTGTTCCTGCCCTTACTTGTCCCCACATGCCATCCCCAGCGGTGTGCCCGGCCATCCAGCCGGGCGGATGAAATTCAGCCCCAGATTCATTCCCGATGACATCTGTGTTGTCTACTCGCATATGTTTAAGATTAATGTTTAGGCTCTGTTTTGTAATGAGTTCTAAATCTTCCTTTTAGCTGTCATGTAGTTTCCTTGTTCGCTAATTACGCCCGCTCTCGGGAGGAGCCCGCGTGCTGTGTGCGGTGCAGCTTGGGTGGATGGAAAATGTTATTGTCAGAGCACATCGCTCCTAAAGGCCACCTCCCACGTGAGGCCAAGCAGATGTGCCTCTGAATACTGCTGGAGGACCCATGGCCACCTTCACTCCTGCAGTATTTTGCTCAGCTTGTTCTGTCAAATCACAGCCCCCTCCCAAAACATGTGCTGGGAAAAATTCCTGCTGAGAAGACTTGGGGGTGCTGGTGAATGAGGGGCTGCACATGACCTGGCATGAAAGGTCATGCAGCCCAGAAAAACACAGCTGTGACCTGGGCTTCATCACAGGCAGCATGGGCAGCAGGTCAAGGGAGGTGATTCTTCCCCCCTACTCCACTCTGGTGAGCCCTCAACTCTGGAGTAGTCCAACCAGCTCCAGGGTTCCCAGCACAGGAAGGACATGGACCTGTGGGAGCGAGTCCAGAGGAGGCCACAGAGATGGTCTGAGAGCTGGAGCACTTCTGCTATGGAGACAGGCTAGGAGAGCTGGAGTTGTTCAGGCTGGAGAAGAAAGGGCTCCAGGGATACCATAGAGCCCCTTCCAGTGTCTAAAGCGGCTCCAAGAGAGTTGGAGAGGGACTTGGGGCAAGGATCTGGAGTGACAGGAAAAGGGGAATGACTCCACACTGAAAACCAGTAGGTTTAGACTGGATATTGGGAAGGAATTCTCTGTGAGTGTGGGGAGGCCCTGGCCAGGTTGCCCAGAGAAGCTGTGGCTGCCCCATCCCTGGAAGTTTACAAGGTCAGGTTGGACAGATGTTGTAGCAACCTGGGATAGTGGAAGGTGTTCCTGCCCATGGCAGGGGGTTGGAACTGGATGGTCTTTAAAGGTCCCTTCCAATCCAAACTATTCCATTATTCTATGAAAAACGGAGAAAAACTAAGGGGTGGGATTTTTTTGTATACCGAATCCCACCCGCGGGTGCAGCAGTGGATGGTAAGTACCTGTGATGTGCCAAAACTTCAGTGCTACTTCCCATAGCGGGGACCGGACCCTTCCTTTCGTGGCTGATGGAGCCCAGCTCTTCTCCTCCTCCTCCTCCTTCCCGGGCCGGCCGTGCCACCAGGAGTCACTCTCGGCCTCTGAACGAGCCGCGGAGCCCCACACGAGCCGCACCCGCGGCATCCCGGGCTGCGGGGCTGGTTGTGGGCAGTGATGCCGCGGGAGCGCTGCCAGCGCCAGCCCGGGGCTCCCCGTCGGGCAGAGCCTGATGGCCACGCGGTATCCCCCTTTTTTTATCATTTTTTGGACTTTCCCCCCCTTCACACACACGCTCTTTCTGGTGATGTTTAACCCCTGGGATGCCCGTTCGGGGCGGCAGCCGGGGGGCCTCCCCCCGCCTTCCCTCGCACCGAGCGCTCCGGTGCGCGGGTCCCCGGGGCGGGCGCTCCGCAGGTGCGGGCCGGGCTCTGCCCGCGCTGGCTCCGCTCAGGAAGTGACAAGAGCATTTCCTCCTCCTCCTCCTCCTCCACCTCCTCCTCCTCCTCCTCGCCGCTCCCTCCCTCCGCCCGCCCCGCCCGCAGCACGGCGGCGGCGGCGGCAGCGGAGCGCGGTCGGAGCGGCGCCCAGAGCCGGCCCGGCCGGGCCGCGCCGCCGCCACCACGGGAAGGGCTCGGTAAGCGATGCCCGGAGCCGAGCGGGGTCGTGCCGTCCCTGGCGGGTGTCGGGGAGGGGGTGGACAAAGGGCGGCGTTGCGCCCTGCCCGGCCGGGGCGCCGCGGAGGGGATGGGGGGAGGATGGTGGTACCCCCCGCCGCTGCCGCATCCCCGCGGAGCGGGCTGGGGGATGTCCGCCTTTGTGCCGTCGGGTCTCGCCCGCGCCGGGGTGAGCGGGGGGTACCGCGGAGAAGCTGCCTGGGCGCCCGAAGGGAGTGCGGGGCAGTGGGGTGTGTGCCCGGAGCGGCCGGGGGGGTGCGGGATGCTAAGCCGCGACCGCTCGCCCGACGTGCGGGGAAGGGCGGCTCTCCAGAGTTGGGCGTGCGGGGAGCGAGCGCTTCTCTCCCCGTCGGATTCCTCTGCCTTTGCCACTGGAATTTCTTCCTGCAAGCGAATCAACACGTGCTTTCCTTTCTCCGGGCCGAGAGTGATGTTTAAGGGGGTTGAAACTCGGATGCCGAGTCTCGCGTTCTCACGGTGGGGGCTGCAGCCCAGAGGAGCTGTGGTTGAGCATCCCTGCAGGGATGCTCTCCCAGGGTAATCGCTCACTCTTCCCACCGTGCCACGCTTCGGATTTCATTCTGGCACGTGCGAGGTGGCTCCCGGCAGCAAGGGACAGGGGCAGACCTGCCCCCCCCCCCCCCGGGTGGGGGTCTCCAACATCCAACACAGCTGCTCTAGGACACGGCAGCTCCTACTGTGTGAAGTGTCCTGGCGGTGGAGTTGTCCTAGAAAGTCCCTAAGTCTTGTTTCTCCGTTCAGTGACGTCAGGTAGTTCAGGTTCTACGAAACGTGAAGGTTTCACATACGGCTGTATGCAAAGATTTCACGAATAAGGGTTATTTTTTTCCCTCGATAATTTTAATTTGCCCGACACGGAGTGAGTTTGCAGCAGCACGGTGCCTGTCACTGAGCAGTGCCACTGCCTCTCGGTGCCGTGCCGTCTCCACAGGCGCTGGTGTACCTTGGCAGCTCATCCCCTCCTTAGGAAATCCTCTGGAGTGAAAAGTAAGCGTAATTTGTTATGAAATAGGCTGATAGACGAAACTTCAGTTCGCGATTGAAACCAGATGTGCATATTTTCCTTTTGAATCCTCAAGCAATAACGAAAGTCTATTTTGACACATTAAAAACTACTTGCAAATTGCAGAGGTAGCAGTGCCTTGCGATAATCCAGTAAAAACACGGAGTGCTGTGAACATCTCTGCCCAGGGTCGGGTATCTCTGAGCACAGGAGATGCTGCTGAAATCACAAAGCCCAGATTCCCTTGGCCTGCCTCTGACGTGGGCTGAAATGTTTACCAGGGCTTGGCTGAGGGCTGGAAAAAGAAATAAAGAAACCCCAAAACAATGTAGATAATGTTTCTAGAGAAAATATTTGGGGTGGGTCATGAAGCAGATTAATTGGTGTGATAGTAAGAAACCCTGAATTTCAGAGCAGTTTGCTCTGTCTTTACCTGTCGTGGCTCAAACTCAGGTTTGAAGAGAGTTTCTAATTTATTTCTTCTTTTCTAAAAAAGTCCTCAGGAGCCTGAGAATTCTTGCTGTGGTGGGTGTGTTACACCCAGCTCTGGCACGGCAGCGTTCAGGGGTGCAGGATTAGGGCTGCTCACCCCACGCTGGAGGCACTTTGCTGGCAGAAGGATGCAACCTCCTGGCTTTCACGAGTGGTGGTTGGGGTGTGTGTGGGGGGAAACCCAGCCAGAACAACCTGCCGTGGAATTGCTTCCTTCCCTCCACTTGAGAGGAGAGGAGGATGCCCCGCCGAGCACGGCCACGTGGAGCACGGCCACGCGTGCTGGCGGCTTTGCAGCTGAATCCCCGTCTCCAGACTTTTCTCACTTCCAGCTTGAACACAGAGCAGGGAAGGAAAAAACTTTTGAGACTTCCAGCTCTCCGCAGGGCCAAGGTGTCCAGGAACCACACTGGTTATAGAAAGCAGATGGCCTTTTGCTGCAAATGCAAGGCTTAGCATAGAAAATCTGGGCAAATCAGTTCAGTAGATAATTGATTTGTGTGAGTGAGATCCAGATTTTTGTGTATGGAGATCAGGCAGGCTGTGGGACAGAGCCAGCACCAATGTAGGCTAATTCTGAGGTATGGATACCTGCATAAATATATGCATGTGCATAAATACGCACACATGCAAATAGGCAAGCATATACCAATATAAATCCCCAAATCTGCTTTGGTTAATTAGATGCAATTAGTATTTTTTCTAGTATGAAAGCTTTACTTTCAGCAAAAGTATGGGTAGAATGAGACATACAGCTTTTTGCCAGAACACCTGTATTTCTGTGCACTGTGGGCTGTGTCCTGATGGGATGGGGAGGGGGATGAACTTTATCCAATTTGCCGATTTCATTATTGCTGGTTAAATTCTGATTTCTCAAATGGCAGCTGCGTGCTTTAAGACTGTGCTTCCTTCTTCCTTTCTTACGATGCACAGAGTTTTTCTTGATCCTTGTTGGGGTGGGGGGAGTTTGTACTCGCCTTGTAAAATTTCAGATGGAAAAGGGGACACCCCCAGATTGAAAGGGTGATTTTGGTTTTGTTTCCTTCCCCCTCCCTTATCACATGGTTTCTCTTGTGGCAGAGCAGACTTTGGACCAACTTTGGGCTGGGACAGGACAAGGTGCCAGAGATGCTCAAAGCTCTTTGGAGAGCTCAGCCTGGAGAGGTTGAGTCACCTTCCCATGTGCCAGGGGGAGAGAGAGGGCAAGCAGAGCCTTGGTATCAGGTCTGCACTCTTTCCTAGAGTGAAAACACCTTCAGAAAGACAGCTTTTATTCCTGTGGCTACGAGGGACCAGGCTAGCAGAGGAGTTGGGATGTTGCCTCTCTGGAGCTGCTCAAGCAAGTTCTCTCCTTGGCCGACTTTTTCTGCTCTTTTCTCTCCCAAAACGGGGAGGAGGAGGAAGAGGAAGCAAGCCTGCTGACTCGGGGAAACAGAACTAAAAAAAAAAAAGAAGGTCTGACGAGTGGCAGAGGGCTGGGACTGCCACTCTGTGACTGCCATCAGTCCCACGTCAGGCCCGCTGGGTGAGAGCTTAACCTTGCAGGGGTCCCCGTGGGGCTGGGCAAAAACACCTCCCAAACAGCAGCTCCTCCAGCACGGCTGCTCCCCTGAGAGCTAAATATAAACACATCAGCCAAGAGGAGAGGGAATTTTCCACCGTGCTGCTCATCTGTGCCTACCGGGTCATGAAGCCCGGGGAAGCCCCCTGGGTCTGCTCCCTGTCCCCTGCCAAGCCAGCAGGGCATGGGGTGAGTGCCACCGCTCTCTGTAGGGATGGGACCTTCCATAAATTCCTTGAAAGCAGTCGAGGCACTGGCAGACCTGAGCCCTGGAGCTCTGGTTCTGCACACGAGCCTCCCTGCGAGAAGTGGCCATGTGTTTTAACTCTGAAAAAGGACTTTTCCAAGGTCATACTCCTGCTCCCACAGTTGCAGCCTGGCTGCCCATGACCCAGCTATTTCTGTAGAGCAGCAATGCAGAACGTGGCTCTGGGACAGAGAACCAGAGAGCAGGTCCATGGGCTGTTTTGTTTTTCCAAGCTTTTCTGAGTTGGCTCTCCGTAGAGAGACAAAAATTCCCTAGCAAGAGCCTGTTTCTAAAACCTCACCAGGCTGGTGAGTCTCTGCTAGTACACGCTGTGTGAGTCTTTAGTCATCAACAGGTGAAGTAGGGAGTGAAAATTAAGAAGCGTCATCATGCAGTTAATTTACAACCAGAATTTCTCCTGGCTTCAGGTGGTTGATCCACAACTTTTGAGGCCTATTGTATTTGATGTGATGGACGTGTGAGATGCCACATCTTATGGATCTGACATATGCTATGCAAGATAAATAAGATTTGGTGTGTTAGAAGTTTCTTCGAAATGCACAGAGGAGTAAACTGCATTACACTGACCTGGAGGAGCACCAAACCCTGCGTGGAGCATGGCTGATCCCAGCGCTGCAGGCTGTGGGTCCCCTGCATGGATGGGTGGGAGGTACCATGTGAATTTGGCTCTGTAATCATTTCGTTTGAGCAGTGTTTTAAGAACTGGTTGAGTGAGTGCAAAAACTCTGTTCTGGTGCGCTGAGTTTCTATACCTCCTCCCCCAAAAATGTACCCGAGGGAGACCTGGTCATGGTTTTTGCTTTTAGAGGATTAAATATAGCAGCAGCATTGGTGTCACTCCTCTGTAGTCCATTTGAAGCATCCCTTGGGCTACATCATTCCCTGCACTTGTGGCTCCTGGCCATAGGATTTGCTTTCAGCAGCCAGAGCTGAGGGCTTGCTCTGTGCGGTAGGTTTGGGACCGTGGTGAAAGCAGAGTTTTACTTTGTGGCTTTTTTGTGCTTGTATATCCTTACATCTCTCAGGGTTCGTAAAAAAAACGGGATCCGGCAAGCTTTGATCTGGCAGCTGGAAAACCTGCTCTCCCTCTGCCTGCTCAAAAAGCAGCCCTCGAAAGGGAGGACCAGAAGCCCTCTGGGTGGCAGAGGAGAAGCGGGGCTTGGGGAGGTGGTGGCACAGAGGATGTGGCTGTCAAGGGGCATCAGCAGCTTGCTTTGGTCTCAGCGCCTGGTCTGGGCTGGGGGATTTGAGAGGCACCCCTCTCCTTTCTTCTAAAGCCCAGGGGATGAGTTAAAGCTTGTTATGCACTTACTTGTATTTAAGAATTTTCTTTCCTAGTGTTTTCCTTCTCCTTTCTCCTTCCTGCTCCTCTGCCTCGGTTGCCCCAGTTGTACAAGTGCTGCCATCACTGTTCTGCACCACTGGGAAATGTTAGGGAAGGAAAACGGCATTAATGCAGACAAGGGGTCTTGCCTGGTCAGGACAGCCTGACAGCACAGTTAGGCCAGGTGGGGGTGGCCATTTCTCATTTCAAGTGATGTGAGAAAGTCACAGTAACTGTGAGTTTTGTGTTTCTGGGTTTGCCTTAACCTTACTGAAAACCTTCAGCCTCCTG